TTTCTTAAAAGGTGCATGTGCACTAGAGCATGTCAAGCGGTGCACTACTTCCCTTTTATTCCATTGGATCATTTTGATCCAACCAACAGCTAAAGGATATTTTTTTAAAGTTCTAGTCTTTTACTCGAAATGAGTTAAATAAAATTATATTAATGGTATGACTTTCAAAAAAATCTTATTTAAATAAATGAATCAAAGAAGAGGTACTTTATTTTAAGGTTAAATATTTAAAATATAAATTTATATGAAATATTATTAATTATAATAATATAATATTAAAATAAACGTTTTTATTACCATCCATCAAACACGCCTATATAGATAGGTTACTTATATATACAGAACTTATCAAAAAACTAAATGCTTTCCCTTGCATGTTTCTTTCTACTTTAGTCTCTAACGATATTCCATTTATCAAGTCCCAGAAAATGTTTTGGCACGTACATTGTTGAATTGGTTAGAAGTTATAAAAGATTAGAAAATGTGTACCTTATGCCACCGAACAACACAACCTCCTCTCTCTAATTTAGTGATCATAATATTTTGGAATTAACTTACACATATTTTAAAATTATTTTTTTATTGTAATAAAAAACAAACTATTTATGTTAAAACTAGAAAATTCGTTAAGAATTATCACTTTATTGACTCAAAAAAATAAATAAAATAAATAATGAAATTTTTCTTATCAATTAAATTATAAGTTCTTAAATTAATATAATATCTATCTTATTATTTGTCAATATCTCAATTATAATGAAAAAAGTTTCTCATTACAAGAACTGTAACTTAAAGGCTTAAAAGCTTATACTCCTATACGTGCAAGTTAATTATATATGTAACATTGACCTAGAAATAGGAATTGGTACATAAAGATATCAAACAGATTAAAATTGTTGTGTTTGCTTCTTGTTTAAAAACTTCGACTCTTCAACCGTTCAGAGATTACTCCAATGGCAAGAAAGGCAGTCCATGCAAGGCCTGCACCGACCCTGTACGTGGTTTCAATGGTTGTGCTAGGTTTAGCAAGGCTTTTGTTTTTTTCCACCTTGGGGACTAGTGGTTGGCGCTCAGATGAGGTTGTGCTTAGCTGTGGAGATAGAGCTGGAGGCTGTGGCTGTAAAGGTGGAGTTAGCGGCGGTGCGTGTGACCATGCATGAAGAGAAGTGGGCAAGTTCTTGACATAGGGTGGTAGAGAAATAGTGAACTCAAGATGGAAGCCAATTTAGGACAGAAAATCTTGGGTATAGGAAACAACTCAGAAATGGTGGAGGAAAATATCTTCTTCACAATATACTTCTGGAAGAAGTTAGTTGACCTATAGTCCCTACATTATTCTCAAGGTAGATAAGAGACTAATTGGCTGCATGAGTTCTGCAAGTATAACTTGTCATTGCAGAGAGTATGAATGTTGAACAAGATTGTCATAAGTGAAAATGGGTTTAAGAAAGTTACAGCAACTTCAATATGACATTTTCATTCTCTTTACAAACAGAGACAAAACTTTTATACATAGTTTATCACCGAGAATACAAGTTGGAAAAAGGGAAGACTTAAAACGATCATCACATTATCTCAAGTTGGAGAGTAATGTTGACTCAATTCACAGACAGTCCATGTCTTCCCCGATGTAGGGAACTCACTGAAGTCAAGAACTTGAAGTTTAGCCTGCTTGTTCTTCTGAGGCTCTCGAAGGCTGATCCTTCTCATGGCTACTACTTACAGATGCAACTGGTCGAGGCACTTGTGCACTGATTATAGGCTTCTGCAACGGCTTCAAAGCAGCCATAATTTCCGCAAATGTTGGTCTCAATTTTGGATCTCTGCAAATTTAGAGGTCAAAGATAAATTCTCAGAGGAAGAGGCGGAAAATAAGTGAATAACTTACCAATAATAAGACTGGGAAAAAAATGCCACGAAAATACAATGCAAGAGACTACCGACACGACATTTGTTATCCCAAAAAACAACCCAAAAAATACTCACGTCTGCCAGCACTTTCTAATAATGTCCGCAATGGCAGGATCCAGGTTATCTGGAATGTCAAGACGGCGGTGCTGAAATCCTACCGCACCAACAACTTGCATTGGATTCATTCCTCCCCACGGTTGTTGTAATGTACAGAGCTCCCATAAGATAACTCCAAAGCTATAAACATCACACCTGCAAACCAGACATAATTCATATGACAACTGTGAACAATGATGATAATGATGGTAGCACTAACATTGACCAGCAGAAAAAAGGCTTACTTTTCATCTGCAGGTTCATTTTGTAGCACTTCTGGAGCCATCCACTCAGCCTGGAGAAAAGTAACACAACATGAATCTGGCTAAAAGTCATTGTTATATCAGATGCAGCATAACTACAAGATGAATATATACTCAAAGGATTCAAAATAAAAATGAGAAGCTTTCCGGCAAAGTAACAATTGGGAGTGAAAATGCATAATTTTTTCAGATAAACTAGTAGATTTAGTTTCTACTTTTAATATAATTAAAGATACAGGGATGGATCTATGCTACGTGCATTAAAATATCCTTCTATTACTCATAGATAAATGGTCTGTTTACTGTGCTTCAGGTAGGCATATATTTAGTTACCCACTCCTTAACAGCTTAAAATTATGCCTTACAAGAAGAAAACCCTAAGCACAGTATTGGCAATCCACTCGACATACAGAGGTATATGCTTCCTCTGAATCATTCTAGAAGACAACATGGAGTCCTGGTGTTAGGTGGAAAATCCAACAAGGTGAATTGAAGGGAAACCTGTGGACTTAAATACAATGTGGAGTACTCTACCTATGGCATTGGTTTTAGGTTGGATGTTTACACCTAGCATTTTAACCTGAATCTACTCATCAAATTAAAACATTTTATAATAATATCATTTGATGATTCATTATTCATCTACCTTGAGTTTGACTCAACCAAATATCTACTTTACAATCATATTGTACAATCTTTCTCCAAACCCATCTATGGGGCAACAAACAGTAACAAACAATGACGTTCACATCTAAATCATCCCTAATTTCTCATTTTAAACAATCCAGATCCTCTATCAAAATAACACAAGATGGAAACCTGGAATGAGGCTGTAAAAAAAATAAATAAATAATAACGAAAGTAGAAGTGAAAAGATACTGAAATGAAGAATGAAACAAGTTGGTTAGCATAGCTTACCGTTCCTGCAGTTGACTTCGAAGACAAATATGTGCTGTACTTCATCCTTGACAACCCAAAATCACAGACCTAAATCACAAGTTCACAAAATGGTTGATAAGGCATAAGAAACTTCAACCAGAATAAGCATCAATTGGTTGTCAAGAGAATAAAAGCAACCTTTACGACCCAATTTCTATCAACTAGAAGATTTGGAGACTTCAAATCACGGTGTACAATCATTGGCGTGCAGTTGTGCAAGTAATTCATTCCTCGGGCCTAAAGATTCAAACATTCAGAAGAGACAAATTAGAGCAAAGTTATAACTGCATTTTAAGGGCCCATTTTGTAATGTTGCGATTTTTGGTTCTGTCTTCATTTCTTTTATTTTTAGCTACTAAAACTAAATATAGTAATTTAATAATATTTTTATTTTTATTTTTATTTCTGAATTACCATATATAGTATTGGTTGCCAAAAATAAAAGAAATAAAACAACAACTTCACTAAACAGGCCCCAAGATTATGATATTAAAATGTGAGGCAAGTACAGCAGAATCATACAGCATCAAGAGCCATCCTCAAACGCCTTCGTTCATCAAGTAGATTGTTAGGCCGATGAAGTAACCTATACAAACTACCTCTGGAAAACAAGACGAAAAACAACTAACCTATAAGAACACAATATCAAAGTATATTAAGGGGTGGTTTGGTATAGAGTTTGAAGTTAGCAGTTAGCAATTTAAACTAATCGAACAAATAAGAATATTTGGATTGTAAACAAAAATAACTATTAGGCACTGTTGGATATGGACTATCCACTATCTGCTGCTTTTGAATTGCTAATCCAAACACCCCCTTAACAAAATGCCAGGCATAGGGTGATACAGGAAAGTTACAAGAACAGGTTAAAGAGTTGAAACAGCCAACTGCCCAACCCATAAGGTATTTAAATTTCAAGATAAAAACTACTTATGGTGTATAAAGCTTTTACCAATTTTGTTTGTTGCAGGGATCTTGGCAAAGATCTACTTGTGTCTCAATTATTTCTCTTCCACAGGGTCAAGTAGAAAGTTTAAGTATCATAGGGCTTGTTTGGTTGGAGGTAATGGCTATTCATTTTTAAAAATAAAAAGAAGCCAAAATTGAGAAACTTCCATAGAAAGCTAGGAATAGTTATGCCTTAATGTCTAATTTTCCATTGACATTTACAAAGAATCAAGGAATACCTATTCCCTAGAAAATGGAAGGAATACATATTCCATTCATCCCTTAGTTTAGTAGAAAATCATTAACATTAAGGCTAAATTATTCCTAACTTCCTAAGGAAGTTTTGAAAATTTAGCTTATTTTTATAAGTTGACCAAGGAAAAGCTATTACTACAAGAAAATAAAAAAAATAAAAAAATGGAAGAAGAAGAAGAAGAAGGAGAAGAAGAAGAAGAAGAAGAGGTGTCTTAATGCTTTGCAGCAGACAGTGGCAGACACCAAAATCAGAGCTTTTTCAGACAGCAAGAAAAATTAGTATCAGAAAAACTTATTTTGAATTGTAACACAGCCACCAAAAACAACATAGAGCGCCAACATACCTTGGAAGAAATTCTGTAACAATTGAAAGATTTGGAGCACGAGTTACAGCTCCCATGAAGAGAACAACATTTGGATGTCTGAGCTTTTTCATTATTTGGACCTTGCAATTAAAACCAATATCAAAATGATCAAAATCAAAAAATAAGGTATGATTTGAATTTGCAACATCCAAGTTGGAGGTATCAAGTTCAGATCTTGGAGTGGGTGAGGAGGAGTTTTGTAAAGAAAGCACAATCAACACAATTGCATACTTGGAGGATGTTGTAAAATGTGGAATCAAAAGTAACATATAACGAGGAGGTAGTCTTGACAAGTAAAAAAAAGGATGTGGAGACTTGAATGCCTTAAATGAAACAACAGAAAGTGCAACAAGTAGGGAAATCTTTCGTATTAAAATCCAATCAGATAATTCAGAAAAGAAAGGCAAGTTAATCTGATATAAAATGGGGTTTTGTTCCTTGTTAGTCTTTTAACTCAAGCTTATTTGAACCAAAAATAAGATTAGCTGAAAATAGAACAAGAAGAGGCTTAATTAATAATTTGACGTAAGAAGAGACAAGAGAAGGATAAGATTGTACCTCACTTCTGAATTCTTCAAGTGATTCACCAGAAATGTGCTGATCTAAAAATCTCTTCACAGCAACTTCCTAAAAAATCGAAGGGCAACAAATTGATATTTTCCCTCAAAAAATAGGACAGGAATGTTAATGGCAGGTCTGCATAATATGAAATTTAGCCAACAAAGAAAATATACACAAAAAGATCAACATGGAAAATTTCAATCAAATAACTGAAGAAGCATTCACTGTATGGTGGACTGCAAACCCATTTTACAATGTCTATGAACAATTGCTTGTCTTGCATAAAGCCTTTCACAAAATCAGAATATATTAGCCAGCCTCATTTCTTCAATTAAGTTCACAGTTTTTCCAAACAGAAAGGTAAGGCACTTCAATGATCATGCCCCTTTCTCAAAAAAATTAGAACACTGAAAATCCAAATAAATGCATAGAAAATGTAGGCTAAGCAAAGATTCAGTTTAAAGGATTAACTTTATGGTTCTCAATGTGCCAGATGCTTAAATGTAATAAATGGTTGACTTCGATGTAATAAACTAATAAACTAATAAATGTGCCACAAGCTTAAATGTAATAAACTAATAAAAGGAGCCTACTAAAATTTTTCCAATGAGCAATTGTTTATATTGACTAGATAGTGCTCAAATATGATTTCTTTGCAGATAAAACCAAAATTATGAGGTTCTCAATACTATAGCATCAATCCAGTTGGTCTCCACAAGACTGAATAGGAACAATCTTAGCCGCACAGCTGCCTTGACCCCTATTATTCAGCTTCATACTTCTTCTCAGATCCATGTAGGATTTAGGAACACAAGTTTGGGATTATAACACTTGGCGATCATAAGATATAGAATGACTCTTCCCCAAGGAGTAAAACTGGCTTTCTTAGAAATGCATGCCAAAACTTACAAGAACACTTTAAACATCAAGGAGAAAGTAATTTGCAAGTTCTCCTCATAATTATAAACAAAAGGAAAGAAAAACAATGCCCTTTCACAGAAAATGTTTTATAGAACCATGGTAGATTGGATACCAGATACACGTCACTCGGGAAAATTTCAAACTGAGGGTGTGTTTGGTATGCAATTTCCCTTGAAAAAGAATCCAGGAGAGCCGCACAAAAAATGGCTTGGCTTGGCTTAGGAAATTAAATTTCCTGGCATGCAAATCTATGCACAACAAAACTGATTATAAAAGGGCGGTAATCGATTATATTGCCATTTTCACAAGAAAGTTTTTCTTCCTAGACTTTTTGCTGCGAAAGTGACATAATTGATTGTAAAGAGGAAATAAGCAATTATATCAGATATAATGACTTATTTCCCCTTATAATCAATTATATAGTGTCTAGATTTGCATGGCAGAAAAAAAGTTTCCTATGGCAAGCTGTGCAATTTTTTGTGTGGCTTCGCTGGATTCCTTTTTGGTTAAACCACATACCATGCACAACCTTTGGGTTCTTCAGGTAGTTCATTGACACACCATTTTCTGAAGACAATTTATCTTTGAGTTTGCCATAGGATCAATTTTTTATTGTCATGAAGCCACATTCTATGCTGATAGCTCCGATAGTCTTTTCAAAGCCACATTTCCAGTGTGCTTTTTTAATCTCATAATCACTGCCACATCCTGAACTAGTCGTTGTGAACCACTCAGTAGAATTTCCAGCAAAAAAAAGTACAACAGAAAAATAAAAATCTCAACACTCCTTAATAAGGGGACAAATGAATCAATTATGCAGAGCTAAGGATAGTCAAAAGAAAGGGAGAAAAGGGTCAATATAAAGCATAAGATAACTCACAGTTCCATGCCATTCCCCACGATATACCTCTCCATATGATCCTGCAACAAAATGGATGCACCAAAATAACTCCATCAATCTTAATACAACCTGGCATCAGAATTATCTACAGAACAGTGCATGAAATAAATGGCATAATGCACAGGTAAATACCAAGTCCAATACGCTCGCCCAAGGTAATTTCTTCCCATTGAATCTCACAGTCGGCAACATCATCAAGTGCAGCAGTATATTTGGAACTATCATTATCTGCTGATCTATCTGATGTTCTCTCACCTTCTAAATTTGCTCCCAAGAGGTTATAATCCTTTTCATTGCCACCACGTGGTTCACAACCAGCTGAGTCTGCATCCCCATCATTGCGAGTTCCCTGCACAGCAGCACTTGTTGCCACCACAGCAGCAGCAGTAGCAGTAGCGGCAGCTGCAACAGGAACTTCAAGATTTGCGTCAGTCCCTGATTTTGCTGCAGCAACAACCATTGAAGATGCAACAACAGCAGCAGCTGCTACTGCAGCAGCAGCAGCAACAGGAACATTTTTGGCATGGTGCACGGGGGATGCTTCAGGCAGAGAAATAGGTAGTCCAGGTACCTCCCTTGCCTCAAATGGATAATTGACCCCAAAGCTTTCAGCAGGTTTAAGTTGGTCAGGTTGATTATGTGGAAAGCTCACTTTATAATGCACTTTTTGATGAGGTCGAGGAGGCAAGAAATTAGCAGGTTCAATATCTTGATTCTTAATTTCATGTGCTCCAGTACCTTGTCTATTTTCATCCTTAGCTTCAGCTGCAGACCTAACCTCAACAATCGATGTCTCTAACTGCTCAGGATAAATTTCAGTAAACAAGTTAGGGGGAGCAACAACACCACTTTCAAGTAACACATCATGAAGTTTTTGAGCTAATTGTGGATTCTCCTTGGCAGCATTAATCATGTACTTTGAGACATCTTTCACTTTCTTTTTACGCACAGCAGGGGAGCTAACACCTTCTGTCCAAGAAGGAGATCTTACATGTGAATAAGGATAATTAGGTCTGTTTGGAAGTTCTTGCCCCAGCATCTTCTCTTTATTTGGAGTGTTTTTAGTGTCACTTGAGGATGCCTTGGATTGTTCCTCACTTTTAGTTGTCTCAGGCAAACATGAAAAAACATCAGAATCACCTCTATCATGGGATTGGTTTGCTGAAGTAGCCAAATTTTTTAGCTTGGATCTGTTCTCCAATGACCCAAATTCTGCATGTTCTTCAGATAAACTCCCAACCCCACTGCTAGATGAAGCTATGTGAGTTGAATCGATGTCTCTAGACAAAGGACTGGCTGAAAAGAAAGGGTCATCATATTCCACATGCAATCCCACTACATCAGCAGGAATAAGGGTGCCAGGGTCCGCCATTAGGTCAACAATGTATTCCCTGAAATTCACACAGAGAGACAATCATTCTATATCTCTATCTGCTTTCAAACACTATCCTACTAGGAAAACTTGTCAAGAAGTCTTAGAACTAAATGAATGTAGGAAGTGGAAGCCTATCCTAAAACAGAATTATGCATGCAACATATTAAATTTCTACAGAAGAATTTCAACCATTAGGCAAAATATTTATCAGTGGAACTACAATAGTGTAACACCAAAGCGAAGAATAAAACCAAAAAAGAAAAAAGAAAAAGAAACAATTTTAACCAACGTCATTATCCCCAACTCATGTAAATGAGAGTACTTTCAAATGCTGAGCAAACTAAACCTATGATATTCTGATGACTTGTTCAAATCACTAGAAAGGTAAATTTCAACTTCATAGAAATCACCTTCCATCTTCAAACTTTACAAAGTTCATTGCCACATCGTCGGAACCCGTGTATTGCTGTCCCTTCACCAAGCGGCAAGGGATGCCCAGACTATCAGCCAAAACCTGTGGATCACATAGAAATGCAACTTAGTGATAGACAAAAAATTGGAGAAAGCCACTTTGAAACAGTAACAGGAAACAGTAAGCAAGTTTTTTAACTTCTATTTCTGTGAAACTGGTTCATCCTGCTATATCACTTCTATAAATAAGGTTGTGTCCAAAAAAAGGTGGAAAGTACAATAACCAAGTGGACAGAATATGTAGAAAGGCAAGACAAGATAAGGAAAAACAATGGGATTGAAATTTCATATCCCCTTCCCAAATAAAATAAAATAAAATAAAATAAAAGAGTAAAAAATTAAAATTTTAAAACTAGAAGAAGAGGCATAAAAAATAGATCACTTTATGACCCAGAATTACTTAAAGGAGTACAGAGAAAAAAAAAAAAAACACACACACACACAAGAATGACAATCCCAAAGGGTCATCTTGACAGCATTAACAGATATGTCTCACTCCCTCATTTCAAGTAACTCCTGAATAACATAATCTCTCCTGAGTAAGAATGCCCACTGACCATCATAGAAAACTAGAAACTAAAACTTCAAAGAGTATTACAAAAGAAAAATCTGCTAAAAATTTTCTAGAGGTGTGAGGGCAGCATTAAAATTCTCTCAATATAGAAAAGCTGCAGAACACCTTAGCTTAGGTTCATCCAAGATTTTTATACTCACAAACACAGTACCCTACTGAACCATGCTTCAATCCCAACTGGACAGAGTTAGCTGCATGATATTTTACCTCCTTTCTCAATTTCATAGAGTCTAAAGCAAATCCAATTTTTAATCTTGAATTTTAAAAAATAAAAAAATAAAAACCCAACTGAACAAATAAACAGACGGATGGTTAATGATCAAAGCAAGTACCTTGAATAACAATGCACGATGACGAGCCAATCCAATTGTCAGAGAACCAAGAGGCAAAACCATGCTACCAAGGGTTGATTTCAAACTGTAACTAAGACTTCGCCATGCTCGTGAGATGTTGTCAGGATTCAAAACTGGTCCACCCATATACTCAGCAACCAAAACAGCAAGGTTTTGCACCAAAGTGGTACTTATGAAAGCTGAAGATTCTGACCTTGACTTCACAGCCACTTCTAGTGCTTTCTGTTCAAGGTTCAATAGATTGGAATCAACAGCTCTATTGACCAAAACTGCCTCCCAAGAAACATTATATGATACAGGGGTTCCTTGTAGGTCTACAAGTGAAGGCATTCTTTCTGGAGTTGATTCGTTCAGGATTCCATACAGGTCATAAAACCCATCCAGGATCTTGTCATCATAGCTAAGAGAATTGTAATTCTGTGAATCACGAACAAATCTACCACATGAGATGGGTTAGAAAAGAATAAAATATAGCAAAGAAAAGTAGAAAACCTCTGTACTGAAAAAAAAAAAAAAAAAAAAAGGAAAACCCTAACAAATCTAATATACACCAACAGAATTTCAGGAATTCTAGAATTACAACTTTGGAAATAATAGGCATTACTTGAACAAATCAATGTAGAAAAGAAAACAACATTTTACATGCTTCTCATGCCATATATGCTGGATAAGACAATACTGTCTTCACTTATTAAAAGTGGGGAAGAAGATTGATCAGAAACAACTGCATGATATGGAACTGTAAAGTTAACAAATTAATATTAAACTATGAACTACAATACTGAGGTCAAAAATCTTTTTCAATAGATATTACCTTTTTAATACAACTCCTTATGTACAATTCAATCTCTACACAGACCATTTTAACTTAGAAACCACTAGGAGAAAGTAAAATTATAAAATATTACAACTGAAAACAGAAACAAATATGACATTAAATTGTGATCAGAATAGACATGAGGACTTGATTCAATATGGCGAATTTCAATTTTTAACTAAGTTAACTGAAACTGAGAGAGAAAAGGCAAACCACTTGACGAAGTTTATAGGAACTAGCTCTTCCTCTAATTTTTACCAGTTTGTATCAAGTCTCAATGCATCGTCTATCAATTTTTTACGACCCCCACCAAAAAGTCCTTTTCAATGATTCAAGCTACAATCCTAACTTCCTACTCACAGGAAAGTTATGTCAACAGCAGGATTGACAGTTCCTCTGGTGACCTGATTACTTAGTTGATTCCCCAATAAGCTACTGATATATCTGTTTCATGGTTTTATTTTATCTTTAATAATAGATTAAAATAAAAGTAAACAAAAAGGATCACTGGTATCATGAGACTGACAGTGACCTCTTCTCAGAAGTTTATCTCTTTTCAAAAGCTTTTCTTCATCTCCTAGAACATAATTTTGCCTTCATGCTAAAGTTAGCATCAAAGGAATGACTACTCTATGAACATTCAGGATTACAATGTGCATCTAAAGATGTTAAAGGAAAATGATAAAAAGACAGCTGACCTCATTCGCAGACTGACTACTCATATAGTTGAGACATTTAATCAATAGGATTATGATCAACAACCAAAGATATCAGGCAATAGATTATATATGCCCCATAAGATTGTAGGAATTAAGATAAAGAACATAAAGAGATGAATTTGAACAAGTAGATTGAAGAGACAAACATACCCAATATCGATAGGCAACAACTTCTGCTGGAGTATTTTCTGGAGCACAGGATCCTAAACTAATTTGCTTTACAGCCTCAATCTGAACTGCTTCAGGATCCTCCCTTGCACTCAACTCCAAAGCCAATTGTATCTGATACTCTTCATCTATGTCAGGATCCCTCGAGTTATTGGACTCTGAATCACGCCTTACTATATCCAAAGCAGCATCTAAACCACTAGCACTAGCTGAATTAGTTGGTTCTTTTCTCTCCACTATCTCCATATTTGAAGATGATGGTGGGCTGGGACTTTTTTTATTAGCAACTGCATTTAACCAAGTAGAAAGACCAGAGAGAGGTTTATTATGCTCAGGATTTTGACGAGATCTTGAATGCAAAATCTTATCAGGAGATGATATACTACTAGACTTATTGCTCCTCGATGAAGTTGATCCTTCTGCATCTTCTGATTGATTAGAGGTAATATGAAGCTTTTTGAGAAAGTTCTTCATATTATTTCACTAAACCACTGTATCCAATGCTAAAGAAGTAAAAATCTCTCCGTAAACATCTCCATTCTCTCGGACCAAGCATGAAACCTGCATTTACTGAAACATACCAAATATACAGTATTAACTTCAAACAAATTCCACAAACCCTTTTGGCCAAATTGCCAAAAAGCCACTCCAATCAAATCAAATTCGATAGCCACAATCACCACTCCAGAGCAACCCAATGAAGTATGTCCAATACCCAAAAGACCCAGATGCTTCAATTCAAAGATAAAACCTTCATCTCACAGAAGAAATAGAAAAAGCCACATATACTCAAATAAACACCATCAAATATAAACCATAAAAAGATACAAAACCCAGATTCTTATTACCTTCAACAATCAGATTAAAACCAAAAATCAAATGCTCCGAATGAAAAAAAAGAAACTTTTTTCGAGAGTAGACCTCATAGAAGAAAGGGCACAGAGAATAGAGTAGCTGAAGAAAAGGGGAGGCTAAACAGAAGCAGAGCCAGCAACGACATGCAAGTGGGATTGTAGGACCTCGAAAATAAGAGTGACCCACTTAAGTATTTGAAGCAACAAGTATTCAAGGCCCCAGGAAAAAGGTTAAGCCGGTAGCAAACGCATGCCAATACAACCTCAACCCCCGCTCTCGGTTTCTCTTTCTCCAAAAAGTCCAAAACCCATCTCCCTTTCTTACCATACAATATTGGAGTCCCAATTCGCAGACCTCTCAAGTGCGAGAGCGGTGGCCTGTTTTGGAAATTTGTGGTTTAGTACGCAAAAAATGGAATATAGAAAGCGCAAGTTGAAGGTAGAAATCATTCTTTTTTAGCTCTGAGCAGTGAGCCATCATTTTTTCTTTCCCCTTTTTTTCCTTTTTAGCCATCTCTGTTAGCTTGACGACAAAGTCTTTTTAACTGGAACTGGTGACATTTACTGTTACTTGTAACTGAAATACCAATAAACCCGACGGCTGGATTTCCTTCAGTTTTCTTCTCCTGGTAGCTTTTGATGTAGTTTTCCTCGACTCTTGTCGTCAATCATGGCTTGTGTTTAGGACCAATCCTAGGAAATTTCAGTTCTCTGTGGAAGAAAACTTATACCAGTAAACCTTCCAACCAAGTTTGGTGCTTAAGACATCCACGATTGCACGTGCTGAAATTTAACTTTGGGTCTTTTTTTTTTTTAGAAAAACAAGTAATGCAATTTGCTTTAATAATTATAAGATAATTTGCAGAAGCCAACCAACTAATTTAGATGTAATCTTTCTACAGTTAAAATAAATGATTTTAAATTTGACTCAGTAAATTTTGAAATGAAAAAATGATATTCTTATATTATTTAATTTAAATTAAAAA